GCAGCAGCAGCTCCTTTCGGTTCCTTGAGCTTTGCCAACAACAGTTGGTGCATTTGGGGTGCATTCGAGCAGTTCGCTGGATACACAGACACACACAGAAAGTCTTGCAGACTGTTTGCTTCAATGCAGATAAGAATATTGCTTCAGTTGGGGCAGCTGCAAGCACATAGATACACACTACTACACAGTCAGCGGCAACAAATTTCGCCCAAGACAAACACTGGCTAACATTTTAGTTGTTGGAGCCGCTCCAATTTCTGTTTTTTTCTTTTAAAGCTTCTTCTGATTTGAATACTCGCTACCCAGGGGAACAGGGTAAAAGGTATACAAAATAAGCTTTTCTTAAAATCACCAGCTTGAATATAATATAAAATCAACCTAATTTGAGTAAAAATAAATATAAATAAATTATTAACTCATCTTTTAACCAAAAATAGTCTTTTTAATGATTTTTCCAAATTTTTGTGCTTTCTCCACATGTTTTTTGTTTTCTTACTTTCACTTCTATTTTGTATACTTTTTCGTGTGCAACTTAACAACGCCAAAGGAAAACAGAAATAGTTGCCGCATTGCTCTTCCTCTTCCTCTTATTGGCTTAGTTCTTGTTGCCGAATCATTTGAAAAACTATTAATTGGCAACACAGGTGCGGCAAGATTTTTAATTGCCGCAAACGCAGCGCGAAAGTTTTCCCAGCCATTTGCAGGTGTTCTTGTTGCACTTGGCTCGTTAATGAGCGTAATTTGGGTGCATTGAAACGGAAAACGCAGGGACAGAAAACCCAGCTAAGCTACAGTTTCTCCACTGATTATGAGCAGTGCCAACTGGAACAAGTAAGAGGGGTTCCCTGAACCCTCTTCTTCCAACATCAAATGCATATATATATTATATTTTAGAACCTATATCTACATCTAAAATTTCAAGTCTATAGATTTTATATGTTCTGCGATCCTTCATACGTACGGACGGATAGACAGACGGACATGGCTAGATCGACTCGGCTTTTGATGCTGATCAAGAATATATATACTTTATGGGGTCGGAGATGTTTTCTGCTGCCTGTTACATACATTTGGATTTTGCACAAATACAATATACCCTTATACCCATTTAATGGGTTCAGGGTATAAAAAGCACAGGAACAACAAATAAAGTTGGCAAGCTTTTTCAGCTACGCCACTAGCAGGATTGAAGGGGCAAATTACGATAGGATTAAGTAAGCAATCTGTTATTTTTTTTAATCTCACTATCCATCAATCAATGAATATTCAATTAACTAACTACTAAACTGAGCTAACCAAATTGAAGGTGACCTTCGGTGTTAATATTAATGATACCTTATCGGAAATTGAAGAGATGAAAAGCAGTTGTGTATCCGTTTACATGTTTTCCATGAACGAAATGTCTTATTGTATTATTTTTTATTTTTCTCTGCATTTCGCTTTTATAATGACTCATTTTTCACATTTTAGTTACGTGTATTACGTGTAAAAACTAATTAGAGCCCCTTCAACAGCACTCCTCGCATAAAATAAACTTGTCCTATAGAAGCTTGTCAATCGACAAGAAACAAAAGTCATTTTATTTTTCGTCTGTCGTTTGCCCTTGTCGTTGCATCTAGTTTTATATTCTATACTCTTACCAATACAGCTACAGGCTCTATTTGCCTTGCATATAACCTTTCGATTGGAGAATTTTCTTGTTGTGACATTAACACTTTCGAATATATGAATTTTTTATTAGTACATACTATATGAGACTGAGGACTACCAAGACTGAGGACTACAATGAATTAATTTAACGATGTTTTTTGATAAGTTTTTATCAATTTGAATAGTTTTAACAATTTGATAATAGACTAAAACTATTCAAAACATGCAGAAGGCTATATAAAAGTTTGAGAAAATTTCTTGCATAAGTCTTATCAAGCTGTTATCAGGTTGAAAACATCTAAGGAGACTCGTTGACCTATTTAGCAAATTATTTATATTTGATTATAAGTTTTTGTGTTTCTAGGTGTTTCTCTTTTACCTTCAGTAACATAGTTTTTACAGGTATTTTATAGTTGCGCATTTCTGATCTTCTTGTTTGCGGTTTGTTGTGCACGTAAAATATTTGCCTGTCATTGCACACAACATGTCGCATTTTCTTCTTTTTTTTTTTTCCTTTGCCAATAAGAACGTGTTTATAATTTCCGGCTAGAAGTCAGGTGCCGTCGGTTCGAGTGGCCGCATAGCATCCACGAGCTGCTTGTGACAGTTTACTTATTGATTGGCTTCTTTTTGCATAACATGCTGTAGGACATCGCAGCAGCGTATACTTGCTTTTTGAAATTCCGGTGCCGGGAATGCTTTTAAAATTCAATAAGAGCATGTTGCCAAAACACTGTCCATCGAAAGTTTTGTGCCCGAGTCCTAAGCTTCGTATGACAAATTTTATGTTTGGCCAAAAAATAAAATCATCAACTGGGGCGCTGCACATGAAGCTGTAGGTGTTTGTATTGGAAGTAGTCGAGTGCAAAAGGAAACAAACACAGATAACATACACACACTATCATATACACACGCAAGCAAATGCAATGCAAAAACAAAATTAACCTCACAACCTACTGCAGCATCCATCCCAGTGCATGTGTGTGTGCGTGCGTGTGTGACTTGACTGTACTAAAAGCGGCTTACACCACTCACAGGTAAACAGGCTAGCCACCCACACACAGCTTTGAGTGTTTTGTTCAGCCCCAAAATACCCACACACGATTGTTGTGTGGATAGGTCGTGGCTTTTATTTTGTCGCCCGCTTCTTGCAGCACATATATATATATATATATATATGTGTGTTAGGTTGAGGGTTGGCGGGCCGGGCTATCAGCCTAGCCAGCTACCTTAGCGTTTTGGCATACCAACCCCCTGCGACCCTTGAGCGTGGTTAAAAGCTGTTTGCTTTACTGCGGATTTTCGCAACGTTTTTGGCTGTCGTGGCGCTCGCAACGCACGAAAGTGTGCTTCAACATTTTTTAACTTTTACGTACTTTGCATTTGCTATGAATTGGGTAAGTGTGTGTGTGTGTGCGTGAGTGAGAAGGGGTGCATGTGGTTTCTGCTTCACGCCGACATTTGCGCTTTTGCTCAGTGCGTATTTGTGTTTCAACTTGCTCTCGCCGTATCTACGGCTCGCTCTCTCTGGAACGAAGAGCTTTTGTAGTAGAGAAAAACGAAACGTGTTTGGCTTTTGCGGCTTGCTTTGCTTGTTCAGAGTGGCCAGACTTTTGTAAAGTTTCTCTTATTTCTGTTCTATTATTTTTCAATTCTTACAGTTACTTTTGGTTTTCCGATCATTTATTTGTTGTTGGTTAGTTGTCTAGACAACAAATTAGAACTGTGTGGTTTTGGCCACAACTGCAAATTTACTCTATTGTGTGTAGTTCAGTGTATTTGTCACAAACTTTGGCACGTGCATTAATTGATGGCACTTGTAACGGCTTTTAAAATGCCAACGGCCCAAAATGGCCCACAAACCATCAATTAGTCCGAGAGCTAGGCCTCAAGTAAACGCACACACACACAGGCATACACGCTCACACATTTGTGTCAAGGTTCATTGTACGTAAGCTTTGTCACTAACATTTCAAATGCAAGTGATAGCTCTGAATTAGGAAAATTGTGGGAAAGTGGGTTGAGCGAGCGGGCTCGGCCTTAGTTTTCAGCGTCTATTGCGGGTACCTTTTTACGCCAGCCGCAATTAACTGCCAAGGTGAATGGCTGTGGCATTAATTGCCAATGAAAACACTTAAATGCTAATTTAGCAAACTAGGCTCACATTTAAGCTTTAAGCAGCTTATGCTAAGAGTACAGCAGCAACAACAACAACCACAATTTATACAACTACAAATTGAATGCGGTATTCAGGCGAACCTTCAACCACACATAAAACTAGCCTTCGCTGATGATTTGATTCTCCCCAACTATTTGGTCTCTCCACAAAAAGCTCACCCTTGCGCCCAAAGCAACCATTTGTGGGCCTACAAAAAAATTCCATCAAATCTGAATGAGTATTTGTTTTCTGTTTTCTGTTTTCAGTTTTTTTTTTTTTTTTTTTTTGTTTTTATTGTTTTGTCTTTCCCCTTTCAGGCCATCAAGCCATTTGAAGCCCACATCGTTGCTGATGACAGCGCCTTCCGGGGGATTTCGAATTTTGATTTCAATTCGGTTACATGGAGCGACGACTGCTGCGAGCTGCGAACTCAATTTGTTTCGCTTGACAAATGTCCAGTGACAAAAAAAAAAAAAAAATAAGAAAAATGTTTCCTCTCCGGATGTTTGTTATTAGCCGCGCACATCCGGCGCGTCGGATAAATTCGATGCCGACTGCGCCATGCAATATATGCTACGGTGTGCGTACTGCGCAGCTTATCCGCGCAGGCGTCTACGTTGCGTATACGTAACGTAACTTTTACTAGCTTCAGACTTAGATTAGAAATTGGCTTTAGCTTTGCGTCTGTCAGCAGCTATGTTGCTGCCATGTTTGCATACAAGCGGGTCCCGCGCCTTGTGCCTTGAAAACCATTTTCAAATGCATTCATTTTGCATGGGCCCGCCCGACAGTTGATTGCCTGTCAACGCGTGTGAGCTGCGACAGCGACGGCAGCGGCATTCGCCAAACTGACCCACATAAATGCCGTGTCGATAAACACCGTGACTACGACCAGCTCGTGAGCAATGCATGTGTGTGTGTGTGTGTGTGGGTTTTGTGAATGATGTGGCCTAGCTATGGGCGTAACATACAACCATACACATACACACACATATGCACACACGCCTACACCTCTATACATGTCATTCATGTTAAGCAAAGTTTACGTTTCAGCCATGATTTCTATTTTCCATACTCTGCTCATGATTGCTGGCTCTTGGCCAGTCTTTATCAATTGTAATGCGTTTTTAATGGCACCGTTTTATCTGTTTATGTCATCGGGGCCAGGTTATTAAAATTATTCATAATTCCCTTTGGAGTCGCCCCAAGTTGCGCGCTCCTTTTAACCTGTCTGCTCTGTGCTCGTGCTACCCCTTTTCACTTTGTTCTGTTTCGCTTCATTTTGTTGATATAAAATGTTTGATAAAAACCATCTGCACAAATGGTTCGCTTTTGTCTAGGCCCAACAAATGTTAAGTGTTTTTATTGTAGCTGTCGCTCTTATTGTTATTGTTGCTTTTGTTGTTGTTGTGGTTGTTGTTGTTGATCCTAAATCACTCGAAATGCTTGTCTGTCATGCCACATGCTGGCTATTTTTGAGCTAGGTTTCTCTTACCACAAACAAACGCACGACCATCATTTCTTTATATACTGAGATTGGCATTTCTGCGAATTCTAATATGTAACTACCAACGGCTATAACCATGCCAAATGCGTATAGTTGATACCGACGTCAGTTTATTTAAGTGGCAGCCATAATTGTCAGGATTTGTGCGTGGATATGTGTGTTTGTGTGCCTATAAATACTTGAGTGGGCTGTTGTGTGCAATTTGAGTGGGGTTGAGCCGCTGCGTGTATAAGAGTTTAATTATAATGCTTATTAACGAGGATAGGTAAATGTATGAGACATTAACTTACGAGTGCACACATAGCAACACACATTATTGACCAGCTCAAGTGAAGCATCTTAATCAAAATACGTAGACGATCGACCTAAGTAGTTTGTCAATTAACGTAATCTGTACGATATCTAATGGAGGTGTGACAGACTTATAAAAAAGTTATCTACATAGAGTATTATGTAGTGGCAGTTGTAGTTGTTGTTTAGGAGTTTCCGCTTCTTTCAATACTAACTAACATCCAATATTAGCTTCGAAATTCGAATAAACTTTAAAACGCGCCGATCTTGTTTGCGCATTCCTCATACGTCATCTAAAAGTTCATATACTTACCGCACGCAGTATTTTAGTTACGTACCCAGATACGTACTCTACTGACAGATTGTGTTCTAAATTCATAGTTTTCTGTCCAGTGGCTTGGTGTTCTGTGCATTTGAACAAGTTCAAGTCCGTTGCCATAGAAAATAACATCTGGCAACGCTGTCAGGGCAGTCTAAATTACGTTCCCCCATAGAAATAGCGGGGGCTGCCTCATCGTCATCGTCGGCACATCAAACACAATTCCCAAAATCCCGACTGCCAATTTTTTCATGTTAAATACACACAAACACACAGGCCATTACACACACACACAGACACAAATACACAGTGATGGGCACGTCGTCTGTCGAACTTTTGTTGGAAAAAAGCTTTCGCTCCCGTGCTTCCTTTTTAATAAAAAAGTTGTTGCCCAGCGAGAGAGCCGTCCGCTCAGGCATGCGTATGTATGTGTTTATGATGCCTGTGTATGTGTCTATTACTGCGTTTGCTCCAGTTTCGAGTGTAGTTGTTCGGGAATTTAAAACTTCGGCTGGCTTCTACTGCCACTCGCTCGGCTCCAGTTCGACGTTTATAGAGCCAACGTTTTTAATACGTAAAGTTCAGTTGAGCGCGTCGGACGTTATCGTGTTTCGCTCTCGTCCTCGTACACGTCGCAGGCAACATCGTGCATGGCGTGTGTGTTAGTGTTTGTGTGTGTGCGTAGTAGTATTTCCGCCGCAACTGTATATACATATGCACATAAATACCTGCAGAGCGGCTGACGTAGTGGCGTATCGTAAAAGTCATTAAAAAACTTATTCAATAGTATTTTACGCACAGGCATAGGTCAATAGCAGTAGCAGCCGTAGCAGCAACAAAATCGCGCGCTCTTCTCGGCACAGAAATCGCACTCATTATCGTCGTGCCTCTAAAATTATTGCATAAAAGCGCATGAAATTGCCAATAAAAGTTTAATGCTGCATTAAATTGCTTCAACGGGCGGTCGATCAATACATAGTGTATAGTAGCAAAACGACAGTCAATTAAATATTTTAGGGAATACACACAAACACACAAATACATGCCTACATATGTATATTTTTAGAAACGCTTTTAATAAACAGCAATACATATAGCTATATAAGAAAGCTTGTACATTTGGTAAGCCGAGACGAGACGCAACGCATTTGGGCGCTTAGGTCCGCTTAGCACGCGTGCTTACACAAATCTCATGAAATTTATAATAAAATAAACGCATTACATGCAGACAATTTACTGTTAGACAACGTTGCGTATACGCTGTGTTGTTTGCAAACCGGATAAATACTCATCATCATTTTTGCATTTGGCACGGGGCACATGCTGACGGGAGCGATGCCCAAGGCATCAGGTTTGGGTTAGCCCCGCTCCATGTTAGACTGTCCCAAATACAGAAAATTTCTATTGCTAAATGCGCGCGCTTACGCCTCCAGCGCCTACTCACGCACGCACACAACCACATCAATATATACTTACATACATACATACACAAAGGCGCATGCCGGGGCAGACGCACACACTGAAGGTTCAACAGCCCGACGACTGCCAGCCATGCAGTGTCAGCGTTAGGCCCCAAAGCAGCCATTATCTTCGACAACGTTACACCACGAGCCCTCAGACTCGTCAGTCAGCGTTATTGCGTATACGCGGTGTCGCCCACACAGCGCGTTGCCGTTGAGCTTCTTCTTTTGTCTGCAAAAGTGGCAAAATGTAATTTTTGGAATTCTCAGCTACTGCCAGGACAGTCTTAGCACGTCTGCCAGCAGCAGCAGCTAAAATGGAATAACCTTTACGTTGCCCACAGTTGCCACGCAACTTCCCCCGCAGCACCCACACAAATTGGGAGTCTCGTTCGTTTAACTCTATTGGCGTGCGTTTGAATTGGCAAACAGTCTCCCGAGAAATGTAACAGGAGCTAACGGCTGTGTTTATGAATATATATTTATTGTGAAGTGGTCATATAAGTTAATGAAATAAACCATTATCATAGCCTATTGGACCTTACTGGTCTCATTGACTTTGCTTTCAGTCATCAAAGGCTTAATTTAGAGCGAGAGAGAGAGAGTAATAAAGTGCTCAATAGATTACATTGAGAAATGCGCTGAAAAGCAAAAGAGTTTCAAGTTGATAAAAAATTTGTATAGCTACTTCAAAAATTATCAATGGCTCTAATTTACATGAAATATTGAATAAATTATAATAGGGTCTTTCATAACGGATATAACTGGTGGAAATTTAAAACTGGTAAAAGCCATCAGAAGGCATCCTGTAGGTTAATGAAGTTGATTTATCCGAATGCCGAGAGTTTGCTTTTCTTATTTTCCTTTTAATTCAAGAGAATAAATTGTATTATTAAATATCAACTATCTCAACTTTCAAGAGAAACTTTATTTGAAAGAAAACAAGTTGGTTGACTTGCAAAGAAATTCCATATTTAACCAATAATCAAGACTTGCGGTTGATGCATTTCTATTTATTATTATTGATCACTTTATTTTAATTAATCCTGCACCAGTGACTAACCAATGGGTTAGGAAATGAGCACCCAACAAATAGAATCTTTAATGAAATCCACTCACAAAGTTTTGCCCTAAATTGGCAACAAAATGTAATTAATTTGGCTTAGGCCCACAATTCTTTTAAGTTATCGTGCAGCTGCTTAATTCCATGCAGTGTTTCTTATTGCCACATTTTGTAGTTAGCCTTCCAGCTTAATTGCTTGGCAGCATTTTTTTAGTCTACCCCATAAATAATAGAAGGGAGTTCAGCTCGGGGCTGTGTTCTAAGGTATCGTGCAACTTTTTCCGCTGCCAGCTTGAATTTAATACCTTTTGTATTAATGAAATTTTTTACGCGTGTAGACCAAATTATTTACGCGAACTTTCGAATGCCAACGCTCACGTGGAAGACATTGTTTTCATTGTTGCTTTCTTTTAAAGGAGCTGAAAGCGCTTTGCCCACTGGGCGTATACTTAACGTAAATCACATGCCAGTGACGGCTTCTGTGAGGCTTTGTGTGTGTTTGTGTATGTGCGTGGGAGAGGCAGGGAAGCAAAGTTCACTTCAAACGCTATTTAAATCAATTGTGTAGAAATTTTCAAACCGTTTGCCAACCTGACGGCCGTGGGAGCCGTTGAGCTAGCAGTGAAGCGTGAAAGGCAAACATAAATATCTCGGCCTGGCAACAAAAGGAAAGGCAGGCAAAAGGAAATCACATGCACTCACATTTACACACACATTCACAAAACGACACTCTAGAATAGATACAGTTATCACAGCTTTGTGTGCTTATAAAACAGAATCGCCGCCGAAAGCGGATAAAACGAATAACCCAAACGAAATCAAATGAAACGAACCGAAGCCAAGCGAAGCGAGGCAAGGCGAATCGAATGAAACAACAAAATTCGAATTAAGCCATAAGACGTGTGTGGCAAGCAACAAAAACGTATCAAATTATAACTTAAGTACAAGTTACCACCGAACAAAAGGAGCAACAACAACGAAACAAAAACATCTTAGACTTACCTAAAAAAAAAAAACACAAGTAAAAATTGCACAGCACGAACTAGGAAAACGAAAAAATAAATTAACTTCGAAACAAACAAAAACGAATTCTAATACAGCGACGTCTCGAGCTGGGGGCAAAAACTATCATTTAAATTAGAAACTCAGCCCGCGGGTGGGCTATGTACGTGTGTGGGTGCGTGCGTGGGTGAGTGTGCGTGTGTGTGTGTGTGTGTGTGCAGCGCATAGTATATACATAAGTCCTACTAAGTCTGCCTTGTCAGGCATTTTTTTGCTCACATTTTGACATTTGCGTGGGAACAGTAAAGCTGGCTGCAGCAAAATTAATGTGCGAAAGGGCTACGACAGGATGTTTCCTCACCAGAAGCAGCGGCCGCAAGGTGAGTCTCCTACTTGCACTCCCTTAAGTAAATTTGATTCCAGCAACTTATTTATTAATAACACATTAACTAATGATGTGGCCTCGCAACTCTCTTGGCATTTAACATGATTTGCAAAAAGCTTATGCGCACCTTCAACATTCTCCAAAATTCACAAGAAGTACTACAAAGAAAAATGTTGCATACTCTGTATAATGATAAAGTCTATACGAAAAAACTAGTTATCATAAAGAGTGTAAATATTTTACTCTTGTTAAAATAAAAATATATTATATATAAATAAATTTTTAAAGTTTTGTCCGATTTGCATCAAACTCGTGTTACAGCGATTTGGGAAACTTTACCCACAACTGTGGTAAATTGGCGAAAAACGGTTGTATGCGAGTTTTTTGCTTACCATCCGATCGACTTCAAAACCATTTTCAAAGATCTTTGAGAGAATTTAGTTGATACGTTCTTGAGTGGCAAATATGGGTCAAAGGCTTAATAAACGAAAGTTACTTGACTTTTTGGTGTGCATATAGCGCGATAGTTGAGATTAATTAGGGGAGGGTCGAAGAACGCAATCGCTGGGAATCGGAATTCAAATTGCATTCTTGCACCGCATTCTTAGGCACCATATTTAAATTAAAAGTTTTGATTTTTGTTTTTGATTTTGTTCATCATTAAGGTTAATCGCAAGTTTCTTAAATATTTTTTACCCAGAGTATGCCCCAGTCGAGCAATTGCATTGCCAACTCGTTATTTTCTACCGTCAGAAAACTCGAGATTTGCGCTAAGGATTGTCAAAAGATTTTTTTTGTGCATGTTTTGCTTTGTTCACGCTTTACTCTTGCAGCTCGTTTGTCGTTTTTGTGGTTGCAATGGGCGTTGCATTTTAATATGCAGTGTGAAAAAGAAACTCCCAAGTTCTTTGGCTGCAACCACAATAAAAAACTTTCAGCTTTCATGGTTTGGGGTTTTCAAACTCAAAAAAGCCGCAGAGTTTTATGAAAAGGCATGCAATGTTTGTAAGAGAAGATAATCTAGAATGCCCTCACTTACATTATTTAATTTGACAGAAAATTGTACAATGGCAACAATTTTATTAAAAACATTTCAAAAACAAATCAAATGGACTTTGAGTAGGTAAAGGTCTGTGCATGACAAGCAAATGCTCGTCATTTTGTATTAAACAAAGCATCTAAAGGAATTATTATTAAAACATGGCACTCGATATAAAAAACTAGATGAAAAAATAATGTAAAATTCCCGAGCTCCACTCCAACTACAAGTTCGAGTGCTTCGGAACGTCATGACGTTGCATAAAATACGCACATCCTGTAACGGCAGCCGGGCTAAGGCGACCAACCTTCACATCAAATAAACTCGCCAACAAATTTGCATGACATTTTTTATTTCTCTTTAATATTTATTTATTTATATGTTTGTGTGTTTGTGTGTGTTTTATGCAAATATTGTTTTTTCTGGTGCTTTTTTTTATGCACGCGCACTTTGAGCTGCGACTATTTTCCACTTGTGACTCCCTGATCCGCCTCCGCAGTTGCCCCAGTCGTGTGTTGTTTTTCCCGCTGCTTGCGCTTTGACGTGAGGCACTCTGAACGATTTTGTATCCTTTGTAATTTTTTGTTTGCACCAACAATTTATGTGCTATTTATGCGGATGAATGCATAAACAAAATTTGCGTAATATAAATAAAATTGCATTTTTTATAGATCAGTGCTTAACCAACAGCCAGTTAAACAAATTTATTTGCGCCCGAAGGTTTAAAAAATATTAAATATGCCATGGTCGAAAGTTAAAAAAAAAATTGAATAAAGTAGAAACAGACTCTTTAGTTGCAGGCAGACTGAATGGAGGTTTTATATTTGGCCCTGTTGGCGAACTCCTTATATATATATTTTTATTGCAACTTTCGCAACTTTGGCAGCTACTTAAGAGTTCGGTGCCCCCGCTTATTTGAAGCGTACTTCAAATATTGAAATAAAATTTCATTAAGCTTCCAACCGACAGCCGCCTGCCCTGCAGAATATTTGCACAGATAATGGCAGGGCCTGCCCGGTTTGTTTTTCTGGGCGCTTCCCATTTGACAACCAGACACACACACTTTTACACACGCCCATTTGGCTGCATAATTAAATTTAGCACTGACAGCCTGTGGGCGGCAGCATAGGCGTGGCTGTGTGGCATGTAACACCCCAGACTCTGGATGCATGATAGTGCATCGACTGCAAAGCAGCCTGCTCAAGTGTGGAGCAGGCAAAGTCAAGTCAATCAATCGCCTCGGTATCATTAACGCTTACATATAGAATATATTAATTGTTCCACTTAGTTGGCAGCTTAATGGCAAAACGTCGTTTGCCTTTTAGCTGCTCCAGCTAAGTCAGCAGGCTGGCCGTCTAGTGTTTATCAGCCTCTCCATAGATAGAAGCTGTCCTTTCTGGCAGCAAGAGTGTAAATTCTTGGCACGATGTGCACATTTTTCACATTTTCTGTTTAACTTGGGAGCTGTTTTTATTTTTTTTCCTGCTGATCGGAATTTTGACGCTAAGCTCTGTCATCAGACTTAGAAATTTACTGGCACCCCGGGCAGAAATTGATTTTCTGCATTGTCCCTTGCGGTAAATTACATAACGTGTCCCTCAAAATTCGTTCTGTTTACCGTCCTAACGTTTGTCAGCTGGTAAAATTTAAATTTAATCAATAAATCAAGTATACGGCACGTATATCTTAGGGTAGTTACACACTCAGGCAAATAAACCCCCATACACTAAGGCTGCCTCAGCTGTCCATGCTCCTATTGTAGTTGCTGCTTTGTTAGCCTTAATTTGTGGTTAACACAACTTGAGCCAGGACAATAATTTCAGTCACCAGTGTCTCAAATGTTGTTGTCTCTTGCGTGTCCTTACACAGAATACCACATACATTTGGTCACTGGCACAGCTGCAACTGACAACTATTATTAACGAAGCAAAATCCACAGTTCTGACTAGCAATGCATTGTCGTCAGTGAATTGCTGAAATTCCGAGACAGTTGACATGAAATTGGCCAAAGTTTTACGTGTGTATGGCTTTTACCGCAATTAGCCTGAGCATCCTATTAATTATTATTATTTCGTTGAGCCTTACGTAGAGTCGGTGGTTGTCCTGCTTTGTGATACGAACACGCACGACTCAAAACGTCCTGCTCTCTTTGAAACAAACAAAACAAAGCAATGTCAAATATTCGTAGCCGCATATAAATACGATTCATTTTTCTGGAAAATAGTTTTTTGACTCTTGCTGAATTTCTTTTAGTTTAACAGCATATGCAAAAATAAACGCATAAGCTAAGCAAATATTCTAATAAAAAGGCAGAGCATAACTGTCCATAAAATGTTCACTTCAGCTTACTAGACGAAAAGCTTAAAATACTGATACAAATTATATATTGGATAAATTCAAGTAAATAATTTATATTGTCTTTGCTTAATATCAAGGTCAGTTGGGTATCAAATGCCAGCTTTGACTCTTAATATGATACCATTAGACATTTTCCGATGCTATCAAATTGAGGGCCATTAGACAAATAACATGACTTGGCATGTATTGGCAGGGATTAGGCCATGACTGTCCCACCCGAAAATTGTATTAATTAAATGTGAACGAAAACAATAAAATAAATGCACATAGCCGAAGCAAAGCAATTATTCAATCCAGTCTGTGTCAGCTGAGCAGGGTCCAAAATGCAAAAACAAAAGGAACTTAAATGCTGTATGTGTCAAATCACACAGACACACACACTTAAGCAATCAATCAATGAGCCTGACAATCAATCAAGTAGGCTGACACAATAGACTGAGCCGTCTGGGCGTCTTGGAGATAAGGTGACAAATGCAAAATCAAATGAATCAGAAGCAAAGTACCCATTGCTGCATGAAGTGATCTAAGCGAGACTTGATTGTTTTGGCCATGTTACAATTACGGGTGGTCAATTATTGAAAAAAGCGGCCCAAATGGCCCACGCAAGCTCGCAGCGTTGCGGGTGATTAGGGACTTGGTTTAGTTTCGGTTTTAATGTATCTGCTGGCCCATATTGCCTTTTGCTGTTAACAGTATGTCCAAGCATGTCGAAACGCGCACATTCGACTACCAAATACCCTGTAGTACCCTCGGTAAATAAATAATATTGGCTTCTAGCATCACGCTGTCAACTCTTTAAATCATAAAATATGGTTCACACTATTAGAAATTCAACGCGTTCTTACTGATGGATATCAATACCTTGGCTTCTTCTGATCAATAATTTATATACTTTATGTAGACAGGCGGACGCCTGTTGTCCGTTACACAAATTTTACATTAACAATATGCCGTTTTTTACGCATTTTGAATGGCTACAGGGTATACAAATATGCACGCAGACATACACACACCCACGCACATACAGCGACTGTTAATGGCATTTTGGCGGGCATAATTACAATTTGACTCAATTTCCGTTTGAAGCTTTTGATGATTTTATTGATTTTGTGAAGTCACGCAACTTCCTTGATGGCCAGCACGTCGAATGCCACCGTAAGTTCTCTGGTCTGTACCTGTATATTCTCTTGAAAGTAATTGCCAGAAATCATCAATATTAAACAGCTCTTATAGAGCTGCAGATATACACACACACACACACAAACACACACACAGAGCCGTGCATCTATGCATATTTTCAATTAGGTCGTCGCACATGAAGCAGAAGAGAAAGGCTGGCCAGCTGGAGTAGGAGGAGGGGCTGTCTACAAGTAGCTACTGCTGCTGACTAAGCACAATGACAACGTCATGAAGTTTAAGTGAGTTTTAAAAGTCTGGTGAGGCTGGCATGACTCACATGTGTGGCTCTATACATATTTACAATGCTTGGCATAATCAGCAGGAAGGAGTTATGGTAGGTGGGGAAAAGGCTTGAAGAGACTATTTTGCGCTCCATTTTCGCAGAGTTAACGACTTAGTCATGCTGTTAGCCACAACTTAAACTTATTGGATTTGCCGGTTAACAGACTATGCGTTTACCACTCGTAATTAGCCGGTCGATGCGGTGTAAGTAATTAATGCTTGCCACAGCGCTTGCAGTTATGCAACAGACAGCGCAAAGCACTAGTGGGGCACTGAATAATTAAATGGAAAAGGGACACGTGACAGAGTTCACCGTTAAAATGATTACGCTGAACTTGACATATCCACAGAGAGAGTGCCAGAGAGAGAGAGAGAGAGAGAGAGAGAGAGAGTCTGTTGCATATTTTCAAGCTGACAGTCTGTACACACACACACACACACAAACACACACAGAGCTGAGAAAGTCGCCCTCATGTAGTTATTTCCTTGTTGCCTTTGGCACTTCATGTGTCCATTTTGTGCTGACCAAGCCCCGGGCACGCGATGCACACACTCACACACATAGAAAAATACACACACGTTTAGCTGAAAGTATATACATATACAAGGACTTTTTGGGGCCCAACAACAACATTAACGTCACTTGCACCGTGGCCTGGCAATTTTTGAATACAGTTCTTAGCCCGCACGCAACTAGGCGGGCACAGCAGAAACGATAACTTTAAGTGTGTTAATAATGCCCCCAGCATTGTGAATTATTTACGAGTACTTATATTTGGTTATGCATTTGCTATGCCACAAACAAGACACTGAATAAGAAGTGGGCAAAATGAAAAGATGGAAACAGTGAAATAGCATTCAAGTAAACGGACTTAAATAGTTTAATGTTAGCTACCAAAAACTTGAGAAATATACAAAATGCAGAGCCCGAGGGATCTGCGAATATGTATATAGAATAATGCCCATTTAGCTAAGAGAATGAGCAAGCCGAAATGGCGTTTGAGTACAAAACTTTAGCGACAGCTGCAAAACTTTGACAAAGTTGCACAACATCAACACAGTAGTAAGAACAACAATAACAGCAAAAATGAGAGTGAAGCTGTGTGGATGCGCAGCTTAGACAGCAACTAGAACTAGAGGCAGAGCCAACATATGTCAAAGTTTGGTAATTTCAAAGTATTTTTTTGTTGTTGCCTGTGGGCATGCATGATATTTGGCAAAAACCGCAGCAAAAGACTCAAGTGTACACTTGACTGGTGCTGGCCCAGAGACTGGTGCGCTGCCGAGATTTGCCTGCAGGCGAGCTAGCCACGGTCAACAATGGGTTGCTTGCCCTTTCACTGCCCTCGTGCCGCCCCGGCTTTAATCCATTAAAAACTTCGTTGTGGGCTGTGGATGGCAGCTGCAACTTCATTTAAAGTGCATTTTCATTTGTTAACCCAAACCTAGAGCCAATCTTAGCCGTTCCCTGAAAATCAAAGTTGTACATAGTTGCTGTTGCTGGCGTGTGACATCATCAACATCACGTGCCCGCCTGGCTACAGTTCTGCTCGGTACAGTTGCCTCGAAGTACTCTTCGCATGACTCTCCGGAATCGACCCCTTGCTGGCCAGCTCTTGTTGCCTGCACACGAGAAATTCAGTGTAACGTGACAGTTACAGAAATTGCAGCTGGTGTGGCGTGGCGTGGAACGTCCACAGAAACAGTAAAGGAAAAATTCAACTACGTAACGAAATAATTATTGCATAGTTTGTGGGCCAAGTCTTGCGCAATTTGGCCAAAATGTCAACGATAAGAGTCGTCAGTTTGATTGAAGCTCACCAACGCTGCAGTAGTTCGCCGAGCACTTGTAGTCTTAACAAAGCAGTGACTGCAAAATTGGCTTAATGAATGCAAAGCAAAATCTTTTAGCGGCGCTTAAGTGGGCGTGTCCGTTTGGGCGTGCAGCGACTAGTAACTAGCAACTAGCAGCGGCAGCTGTTGGCTGTCCCAGCAGCAACAAGAATTTGCCTAATTTATGCTGCGACGCGTTGCACTTTAGTTTCGCATTTGAATTAAGCTCTGTGCATAAATTAACAGCATGGCAACTAAATGGAAAACTTTCTTTGTTTGCTTTGCAGGAAAATGGAAGATCAGTTCCTGATGTTACCGCCAGTCCGGGCCGTGCACCGCCCGGCCCGCTGCCCGCCAATCAGCAGCCCGGCATGGGCAACCAACAGCAGCAGCACCACCATGCCAACCAGCAGCAGCAGCAGCAGCAGCAGCAACAGCATCATGGTAACCAGCAACAGAACCGCGGCCAGAGCGGCAATACAAACGGCTCTGGCGGCGTTAAGGATCCGGTGCTGCTCCAAGGTGACTTTCGCAAGGTCAGCGGGATCAGTTCGGAGATTTTTCGACAGATAGAAGCTGTCGAGAACGATCATGATCCGAATACCGCTGCAGCGCTGGAGGCAGTGGAGCGGCGCGGAGAGATGATTGTGCGCATCTTGGAGCCACGCTCCATGGGCAGTAAACAGGCTGTGGATGCGGCACATAAGCTGATGAACAAAGCCGATGGCCGGCACACCGTGCAACTGGTGGAGATTGTGAAGCGGCCCGGCCAAACACTCGGCCTGTATATACGTGAAGGCAACGGCGCCGATCGCACCGATGGCGTCTTCATATCCCGCATAGCCCTGGAGTCGGCAGTCTACAACAGCGGCTGCTTAAGGGTAAGAATCTACGTTTATGCTGTCTATTTATTGTAAAACTCGCAGTTTGCTTAGCTCTTAATACTTTTGGCAACTTTCATTTTTTTGTGGAGCGCCTCCATGCGCATATCCTCCAAGTCCTCCTGAAAGCCTAGTCTTTTGCTTATCAGCTCCTCGTGCTCGACCTGAGCAAAGCTTGATTCCATGCGTCTATCATCCAAGTCACGGTCGCGATACTTGCGCTTATCATAGCCAAATATGTTGCGTATGTAGGCTGATATGTCCTCCTGGCATTCGCTGTCGTCTATAAAATCATTCAAATCCGAGTCATAATCGCTTTCATCCTGGTTTGAATTTTGTTGCTTATTTTCTAGTTTCAGTTCGAGGGCAATTTTATTGAGGCTGCCGTCGGGATTGACCGCCCGCCTTGCAGCTGCTGCCTGCAAGAATGCAGATGTAACTGGAATTGAGGATACAACTGGAGCATTTTGGTTGTTCCCGTTTGTTGGATTCTTGCTTAACTGCTTTATTCTTTCGCTGGTCTTGGAGCATGTAGACATACCTTCAGAATTATTCAGTTCTGCTGCAATTGAGCTAGTGGTCTGACCGGCTCCTAACGGCTTTTGCGATCCCTTGGCCTCAAGTTTTGTCTGCCGTTTACGTTCACGCTGACGCTGAGCTCGCTCCTCCAGCTCGAGTTTTTCCTTTGCTGTCAGCAAACGACTGGATGGCCGTTTCCTTGGTGGCGTGACGATTTTAATTGGCTCGTGCTGTTTTTTTTCGGCAAGTTTGAGCAGCGCTTGAAAGTCCATGGGCGCGGGTTGTGGAGCTCGTTTATGTTTGGGCTTTGGTTGCGTGTTCTCGCGTAACTTGCGCTCCTCTTCCGGATCATAGATCGTTTTGGAAGTGCTATAGGCACCTGCCCTACTAGCCTCCTTGGCTGGCTTACACCGAAGGGGCTTGGATTTAGTCGACTTCGCAGGGACAGCGCGCAAAATTGGTAGTTGATGTGGCGCTGGCGCCTTCTCCATATATTTACGGTATAAGTCATCTGTTTCCGGCGAAACGAAACCGTAGTCATTAAAGTTCGGATCATCAGGTCCGCCCAAGTGGTCACCACTTTTTAAGTCCTTTGCCACCGATTTGCTGGTCGATTTTGTAACTTTTAACATTTTTGGTTTGATATATTTTTTTGGTCGAATAATTAAGGCTTTTCAAAGTGACGCTTCGACCTTTAAAAATATGTTCAGGTATTTTTTTTTTTAAATTTTTAGACTGACTAGTTTGATGTGTATGTCGATGCGATTTGAAGTTAGGTTTTTTTATGGGCTCTGCAGAACTTCATTGTATTTTATACCTTAGTCAATGCGTTAATTCCGATATGAGGAAAACATATTATATGTTGGTAAGAGCTTAAAAGCTGGAAGTACAATCACAAGTACTCTGCACGCTCCATTGTGGTGATTGTTTTTAAAAAAAATACAGATATCGACTAATACTTTATGTAGGCCTTAAAGCTCGACAGGTGGATGTTAAACAAAATAGTGTCCTGGTACATAATTTATCCAGTCTAGTGGCTTATACCTGCTCTAAGTGAAAAAAATGGAGCTTTATTCTTCTTACTTGTTGCTCTGTATATGAAATGCTTATACATAAATATAAATATATAAAGAGGAATTATTTAGAATTCTAATTAAGCCGATTGGTTTTGTGGCACAAATTCTGTTATGCAGGTGGGCGACGAAATCCTGGCCGTCAATTTGGTTGATGTCACACATATGTCGCTCGATGATGTCGTCATCATCATGTCAATTCCTCGGCGTCTGGTGCTGGCCATACGGCAGAGGCGTGGTAACCGTGGAGCCGGTTCACCGGGTCCGCCAACACTGTCGCGACCAGAACAGAAGCCGCCGCCGGTGGTGGTTATCAAGCGTGATCTCAGAGACGAGGACCTGGACGAAACGGATCGAATGCCGCGCCCGCGTTCATCACGTGAAAGACGTACAGGTAGTTTAAAGTGAGCGCCGTGTTTAAAATGCTAATCGGTGTTCCTTCTCTCTTTCTCCTTTGTTCGCTTGTAGGCGATGGTCGCGAGATGACCGAGTCGCGCTCCAGACTGGGTCTGGGCCTTAACAACTACAGCCCTCAGTCAGAGCAGCTGGACATGTACTACAATACACGGGCTGGCGTTAACGCAATGGGCGAACCCCCGAACTGGGGCTACAAAGCACCGCCGCCACCATCCTCGGTCATTACGGAGCAGCCCACCAAGGGGCATGCCTTTGCGCCTTCACATGCTTACTATCAGAACGCTGGCACACTGGAAAGCCTGGCCGAAAAGGTGCACGCTTTCTACCCAGGCGCACCTGGCCAACCGCTAGGTCCCTCGCGACGCATGTCCACGGGCACAGGAAATGTGGGTTTGGCTCAGCAACATGCACGTTTTCCGCGCTCTGGTTCAGATCAGCATTTGCCGCGAGTCGAATACGCGGATTACTCCAACTCTTTAGGCCGCCACTCCCTGCTGCGTTCCAGCTTGAAACCCGGTACAGGCGCCCCAATGCCCGTGGGCGTTGGAGGCACTCTGGGTCGCTATGGGCGTTATGAGCAGCAACGCGGTGGAGTTCCAAAGTATGGGCCTCCGGCAGCCGGTCCGCAGTCACTGACCCGCCGCTCGCGGCCCAATCTGGACTACTCCAGCGATACCGAAGCCACCATTGGGCCTCGTCCTAGTTACTATTACTATAACCGACCCGCCATAGGCAGTATGCCACGCGGCGCTGGAGGCGTGGGTAGTGGAGCAGCTGCAGCGGCAGCTGCAATGTTGGCCGGCACCGCAGATCTAAATAAATTCAACTCACTGCCCAGGGAGCGACCGGGCGTTAGGTTACAGGGCATACGTGCGCGCATAGGAGACCGCATTCTGGATGAGAACGATGGCAATATTTCGGCACCCGAGTATGATGCGCGGCGCGGCCGCGATCTGCGCCAACGCATTTCTGCTAGCCCTGGCCCCTCTATCTTTACGGCGGACGAGTATCGTGCGTGGCTACGGCGCGCGCCCAGTAGCTCTGCGATTGCGGAGCAAATGCGTATGACTAGGGATATGTTCGCCCAGCCGCGCTCACATCGCTTCTCCTGCAGTGCGGAAAACATTCACGATGCCCTGCGGAACGTATGTTTATGGCAACTAAGGCTTGAAACCCCCATATGAATCCTGTTCTTTATTTTTACAGACCGAGAGCATTTACTCGAGCAGAACGGGCATACTCGGTGCTGGCACGCTGGATCGTAATCTGGGCCTCACTCGACCCATCTCTGCACTGCCTGTACGGTCCATGTCCTCGCAGCACATAGGCGGTGCTGGTTCCATACGCTCGCCCAGTATACGACGCATGCGTCAGCTGCTGGAACTTTCTGCTGGTCCAGCCAGTCCTAGTGGCAGTATTATGAGTACAGCCGGTCATCAGAGTCCCGCGCCCACGCCCAGCGCAACATTGCCGCGTGCTCATCGCCAGATTGACATTAATCCGGCAGAGTTTGCCAAGTACAAGCTGGACAAGCCTATTGTGGACATTGGCGGCGTCTCGGGCATGCTGTGGATACATCTGCTGGCCGGCCGCGGATTGCGGACAGTACCAGAACAGGGTGCACAGCATGCACCTGGTGGGGCACCACTCCCACAGACTAGAGATCTTTACTGCGTAATCGAGTGTGATCGCGTGCATAAGGCGCGTACAGTGGTGCGTTCGGGAGATTTGCAATTCGATTGGGATGAGTCATTTGAACTAGATCTGGTGGGCAACAAGCAGCTGGACGTGCTCGTCTATTCCTGGGATCCACAGCACAGGCACAAGCTGTGCTATCGCGGCGCCATATCGCTGTCGGCGGTGCTGCGGCAATCGCCACTGCATCAGCTGGCGCTTAAAGTGGAGCCTCGCGGCACTGTCTACATACGCATGCGGCATACAGATCCTCTCGCACTGTACAAGCGTCGCGGGCTGCCCAGTTTGCGTGCCGGTTATCCGACACTTTTCGGTGCCGATCTGGAGACGGTGGTCAACAGGGAGTCAAAGAATGCGCCCGGCTGTGCGCCAGTGCCAATTGTGCTGCGACGTTGCGTTGAGGAGGTGGAGCGGCGAGGCCTCGATATAATCGGGTTGTATCGCCTGTGCGGATCGGCAACGAAGAAGCGTCTGCTGCGCGAGGCCTTCGAGCGCAATAGCCGAGCTGTGGAATTGAGCCCGGAACACGTTCCTGATATTAATGTTATTACCGGCGTACTCAAGGATTACCTCAGGGAGCTGCCGGAGCCATTGTTTACACGCTGTCTCTTCCAGATGACAGTCGATGCCTTGGGTAAGGTTGCCTAGGTTTTAATATGTTAATCATTTGCCTAATTTAAGTACATGTCAATCCCCAGCTGTCTGTCTGCCAGATGATCCTGAGGGCAATGCGAAACTGATGCTTAGCATACTCGACTGTTTGCCCAGAGCGAATAGGGTGCGTTTAATTTATGACTGTGGTTCTTTTTAATGGATAAATATCTAACAATTCCATTAACTCTAATTATAGGCTACCTTGGTATTCCTGCTTGACCATCTTTCGCTGGTTGTGTCAAATGCGGAGCGCAATAAAATGTCTGCTCAGGCGCTGGCCACTGTGATGGGTCCTCCGCTGATGCTGCACTCGGCCAGTGCGCAGCCTGGCGCTGATATTGATCATGCTCAGCCGATTGCGGTACTCAAGTATCTACTGCAGATCTGGCCTCAGCCACAAACGCAGCAGACGCAGCATCAGCAGCTGGCTCAGCACATGGGCGGCATGGCCGCTGCCAGCAGCATGAGCAATATGGCGGGTGTTGCTTCAGGTAACGTAATCACTGTGTCAATTATGCAATCCACACTGATGTCCAGTACCTAGTATCCACCAACAAGAGAGACACACACTCACTCCCACACACACACACACACACACAGACACACATACAGGCGCGTGTTTTTACTAGTGGCACAATAAACACTTGCAAGAGTTTCTTTCCGCTTTGAATGTGCAGAAGCAACAACAGCCCCAGTTTGTTCATTATTCGAGTCTCTTTCCTAATGGCGGCACAGAAAACGTTCACATTTTGACCGTCACGCACACCACACAAGTGTACACACATACACATACACATGTTCAGCCCCAGTCCCAAGCCACAAAATGATCGTTCACATTAATATTGATTAATACAGAGTCCTATGTAGACAGGTCGGCGCGGCGAGTCAACAGGGCAGCGTGGAAGCAAAGTCAGTGCGTTGCCAGTGGACAGACAGCAAATACTACTGCAGCAGCAGCAGCAGCTCATGGCGGCGGGCAACCTACTGCGCTCGTCCACTTCGGTAACCAACATACTCTCCCAAGGCCATCATCAGCTCTCAGCCACAGCCAACAATCATCTGTATCAATCAGTAGTGGGTCAGTTAGCTCAATCGCATCGAGCCTTGCAACAAGCGGTGCAACAGGTAAACAAACAGTTACAACAACAACAACAACAACAACAACGACAACAACAACAACAACAAATACAACTAACAAACATAGCAATAACAACAACCAAAGAGTCTTAACAACAAAGAGAGTTCTTAATGAATAAACGAAGCAACTTGTTCTTAAAACTAACAACAAAATTATCCAAATACATAATAAGCATTAACGCACATTTAATACAACACTAATACTAACAATTAAAAATGTTTATTTATATTTTTTCAAACGGGCTCCATATAAAAGTTATTTAAATTCCTGTACCTACACATTCCATAGTTTGTCCGATTGCTTAAAGTATGTACAAATAGAGTATATCTATTTCCATTTTTTTATTACACTGAAAAAACATACTGGGCTACTCGTATACATACTTATAAATACACAGTCACACACACACACATGCTACACTTTCAGCAGCTCTTTCTTGCTCTTCTAACTCTTCCTGTTGACCGTTTGTTATCGCGTAATTGATTTCAACGATATATTTAAAAAAATTTGAGTAATAACTGAACAATTATATAATCTATATATCTACATAAAGCATTCTGTGTTGTTGATTTGATTTGCGCTTCTTGAAACAAAATAATTGTAAAAGTAATTCTTGATTTGCCGTCAAATTTTGATCGACGTTGTAATTGTGATATTTATACAATTCTTAACAATAATGATAACGATTATAACAATGCCAATAATGATGATGATTTGAGCGATGTGATAAATGTTAACGGCGTGTTAAGCATGATTGGCCCACTACTGGTAAAAATGTAACATAATGAACATACATATCCACTATAATACCAATGCAATATGTTAATTCATAACAATTGTACTTATGTTTACATTCGCCAACACAACATATAAAATGCTTCATATACAAATCCATTGTACAAAGTTCATCAATCATCGCCTGTACTATATCCTTCTGAATAGATAATGAAACCCCGTAAAACTCAAACTTTCAATGATGTAGTTAAATCCAAATGCCAACCTACAAATATCCATGAGCACAGAAGAGTACGCAGTAGCAAATTAATAATGAAACTATTTAGGTTTATTTATTTATAAACTGCTTGAATGCGATATGTTTCCCAAACATTTTGTTATGAAATGTGCAGGATGCATACAAAAAAACTATAATAAGCAGGATTGAGAGTTGTATACACTTTCAGTTTTGTCAACCTTATTGTATCTGCACTTGAATCTTGCTCTGTTAATTGCACACTTTCCAAGGCACCCTGTTTGCATGCGTCACACTCCACTCGCTTTTACGTTTATCCATCAATCAAAACATCTCATCTAAAAGTTAAAATACGATTGGTTTATCAATTGGCCGCAATCTGGTTGCAAATCCTTTATGAATTCATAAATTCCTAATAAAAGTGTATGTCTATTGTATGTTTGCCACGCGCACACACGCACTATCCACAACACATGATATCAAAAATTCAAAATTTTGTTAAACACAATGCACTCAGACCCCAGATACAGCCCCAAAGTATACACACTGTGGGGCGTTTGTCCACTCCCAATATTATATGCCATGTTATGCCCATGCAATAACCATTGCCTTGTATTGTGTTTGTTTCCATTTTGTGATCTCTTTTAGCCCTTTCAATTGGCGGGCTCAGCGGTCTCGGCAATTCCCGACCAATCGCCACTGCCACTTCCAGGCACACCCTCCCCAGGCAGTAGCTCAGCCTCGACGGGCTCCGGCTCGGGGTCGGGCTCGGGTTCGGGCAAGAGTAAGTAGGGCCAGGCCTGAGCATATGATATAATTTAATCCCATTGCACCCGTTCAGGCACTGATACCATCAAGCGCGGTGCTTCGCCCGCTTCCATCAAGCAAGTGAAAATTGTTGACACGCCCAGCCCGTACTCGGTTGTACAGAAGAAGCCACCTTTGCAAAAGGACGCTCCCATAGAAGAAATTACGCCCCCGGAGGCCAATACAAGCTCGACAATCCGCAAAGGCGTTGACTTCTACGAACCGCACAAATCGCAATCCAAGAACCTGGCCGGCGATGACTCGTATACATCTAAATATAACAGCAGCACTGTGGATAGTAAGAAGAGCAGCTACATCAGCAGTTACACGCCCGGCAAATCCTTCACTGCCAGCAGCGCCAATCTCAGCACCAACGATGAATACAAGGCCATGCGCAATAAATCAAGCGCCACCTCAAGCTCCAGTTCCTCCCAGGCAACTGTGCTGAGTGCTGGATCCACTGCAACATCGGCGCCAACAACCTCCTCCGATGACTCCGACGACTTGGTCTCGTACAAGTCTTCGGCCTCTACCAATGCGTTGCTGGCCCAGTCTCAGGCGATGACCACCAGTCAGCTGATGTCTAAATACTTAAAGCGCGAACCACGAGTGCAATTTACACCGATCAAATCGCCGGACTCGCCCTCACCACCTGGCGGCAGCGATGGCCTGCCAAAGGGCACCTACCAGCTGGTCACGCCCAGCTCCAGCACCAGCTGCTTGGCCAAGCCCAGTGCCACCACGGGTGCGATCAGCAAGTATACGACATCGACATCATCAGCAAGTTCAGCGGACACCAGCAAAAATCCAACCAGCAACAACAAATTGGCGTCACCGTCAAGGCTTGCCAAGGATGGCAAGTCGGCAAGCGCGGTAAGTAACTCCTCTTCCCTGGTGTCGAGCGGCAGGCGGCTGTTTGACAGCCTCGCCTCGTCGTCGTCCTCGGAAACGGAGACAAAGACTTACATAGGCGGCACCACAGTTGCCAGCACCACAGTTGCCAACACCACAACAACCTACACGAACGAATCTAGAAACTTAGCCAGCAGCAGTAGCAATAAAGCGACTTCCGGCTCAGAGCACAGAAGTTTTGGTAGTGCACTATTCGGTAGCAGCGCCTTGGGCAACGGCAATGCCAATGGCAATGGTCATGGTGCCCACTCTAGCAACAGCCCCTTTGCCAGCACCAATGGCAACGCCAATGGCAGCAGCAACCACAGTGCCATGAACTTGTATGGCACGCTGCCAAAGAATGGGGCTGCGAACGGCAGCAGCGCGGGCGCCACTCTGTTTGGTGCCAGCGCCAGCTCTTCTTATCATTCTGGTAGTGGCACAGCCAGCAGCAGTGGGGTTAGCTCGATGACTGGCTCCACAAATAGCTATGATTTTTATACGAGCAGCAGTACAGGCGGCAGCAGTAGCTCGCGTCCCTTTGCCAATGGTGGCAACAACTATCATACGCTGGGCACCTATCGCGCTCAGTACGCGGCCACCAATCCCTTCCTCGATGCCTTCGATGAGAAGCCCAGCAGCAATGGGGGCAATAATGGCCATAATAGCCATCACGTTGCCGATGATAAGCATGCAACGATCGCGGATAAGAGCCATCAGCGTACCGCAATGGTGGCAGCTTTTCAGTCGTCGGGCGACTCAAAGAATGGCAGCGATGAATACGATGATCTCAAGTGAGTGACCCGCGGCGTGTCCTGGGCTTGTGTGAGTGGGGGCAGGTAGCTGTCCGCGCACTATAGGGGACATTGGCTTAACGGCGATAGCGATATCTATAACGATATGAAACGCTGAAAGTGTTCTTTTGGAGTATTTACAGTTTACAAATTTACAAAACTAAATATGCAAAAATATGAATATATATCGATAAACAATATTTAAAAGCTATACCAAAATCGAACAATTTAAAGAACAAGTAAAGATTAACGAATTTTTAAGATCACTTCAAATTATAATGGCAATCCACTGAGACAGCAGGAAATCCGGTTTAAATAAATACGCATACAAAACAAAACAAAACAAAATGGCTGCCAAGCTTTAAGTGTTCGCGTGCGTGTGTGTGTGTGTGTGAGTGTGTGTTATGCTAAAAGCTTTGCCTTAGCAGCATTTATACTAATATATCCGTTGGCAGCCATTTTGAAATCTACGGCATAACCTTTACAAACAGTATTCGAAACAAAAGCTAAACTCGATTCAAAAAAAAAAAAAAAAAAAACGCATCGTATACAACATAAGAAATTAAAACACAAAAATTAACCTAATATCTAGGTAAATAAAAGGTTGAACGCGCATTTAACTTTTCTTTTTGTTTACATATTCATATATAAACTATCAAGACGTATAGATTTGCTGAAAACATACAAAAAAAAAAACATTAATGTTTGTATAGTCGAATAATCGATTTTCTCCCTAAAATCCCTCCTAATAACTTCTATGCATATGTTAGCTTATTTCAAGGCGACCAAAACTCTTAACTATTAACGATGATAGCATTTCATCAAATATTGGACAAAATTTCGAGCAATATATTTGCCTAAAATGTTTCTCTATGCCTCTTATACATATATACTTACAAAACATGCATCCATATACATATGTATATACAAAATTCTTTATATGAATATGCATTTATATACACATACATTAACTACACCAAATGTGTATTTCCGGCGAGGTTATGTTGAGTACGATCCAAAGATTTTCTAAGGATGCTAACTTTTTCATATTTGTTCGTTCAGATCGCATTCACTCACACAAAAACTTACACACATACCACATACACGAATACATGAATTTATTGACAAATCGATGTGCTTAGTTTTTTGTATGAAACAAAGTCTGATATACACACTAATATACAAGAATACGGTATTAAATATTCTTAAACATAAATATACAAGTAAAACAAATAAAAATATATACATAAATCTATATATATATATATTCATATATATATACATATATATATAAATATATACATACATATACAGTGACAAAACTAAACCACGCTTTGCGACTATAACAAAACGAGTCTACAAACTTTACAGCCATTTTGTTTGAATACTTTAACAACAGCTTTTTATAAACGAATCTATATACATATGTAAATATGTATACTTTAATATAGGTATGCATAACTAACTCAAAACTATAATAAACGTATTATACTATAACAAATCCTATCAAACTGTAAATACCCACAACGTACTTTAAAACTCTTGTGCTTTTGTGTCAGTCGTTGAGGTCATGAACTTAATCAACTAGTCAGTTAGTCGGTCAATGTTTGTCAGTTCTACAGAGTTAGTTTTTAGTGTTAGGCATATTAACTTAAGTGAAGCTTTTGCTAACAAAATGTAGTGCAACAAAGTGAAATATTATTTTATTTAGGAAGCCAGGGAGCCTAGTAAGCAATAAATATATAAATACCAACAAATTAGAGACACCGAATACAAAAACAGAAAATGCATATAAAAAAGTACATTAAATAGCAAAACAGAAGCATACCTACCACATCTAAGTCTATATTATATATGTAACAGGTAGACAAATTTAAGTTAGTTACCTAATAAAACACCAGCATAATCATTCGTCTTCATCAAAGTACAACTTTCTAGCAACAACAACAAGAACAAGAACAAGAACATGAACTAGAACAGTATTTTACAGGATATACTATACAATTTCAATTCAGATTCTAATTCGCATCAATTAACAAATCATAAATAAAAGATAATTACGCGTAAAGCCAAAACAGTGCATTATTTGATATTAACAAAGTTTTAAGTATATGTACGATGGATGAGATATGCGTTGAGATTTTAAATAGCAAATTATTCGGTTAATTGTTGTCACATTTATTTTATACGAAACTAGATGAGAAAACCAAACTTTTTAAGTGTTAAACATGAAATATCAAACCAAAGAGTTAAAATCATCAAGAACAAACCTAGTTGATGCTATAATTAATTTTTATATACGAGTATAGAAAATTGTTGATTATTATATATAGCGCGTAGTGTTTTTAAAAGCAACAATTAAGCTAACAACAATTTGACAACATTGCTAGCTATTCATTTGCAGGGGTCCAAATGCATTTCGCTGGGGGTCTGCATGCAGTTAATTTATTATTATGGTCTTTGGTACTCGTGCTGTCGCCTTCTTTCAACATGAACGTTAAATGTGAAGTGCACTCAAAGCATTTCAATTTAATTTGATTTATTCAGTAAAGCTTTAATCGTCGAACGACTCAAAGATTATAGATTTCAAATATACTCGAATTCAATCAAGGAAAAATTAAATAAAAATGTAAAGCAGCATTTTAATTAATTTGCGAATTGTTGTGGGCTCTTAGCTATAGCTGAGCTTTAGATAAGATACCAAGAGTAACCGGCTGGCCTAGTTAGTGTTAGTAGTAAATCGTGGTGTTTGTGGTGTTCGTTGTGGTGCTGGGTGGTGGTGAAATGTTGGCTGTTACGTGTAAGCTGATTGGCTTTGGCGTTTGAACTGCTGCGTGTGTTTATTGTTTGGGACGTGCTCTGGGGCTTGAACTTGCTTGAAAATGATACTTGTACTTCTTAAAATATGTTATGAAATATATCACTGTGTCATATCGTACATTTATAGAAGTAATGGATACCAAGTTGGCAAGTAACACGCGATTAATTAATGGTTAAAACAAAAGTATTTACATTAAGAAAAACAAATATAACTAAATTAATAGCAGCAAAGCAGCAACTATAGTTAATTAAACTGAAATGATTGGCAAGCAACCACAACTACAAATTGTATATGCATTTAATTTAGCCTAAACGATTAAACAAAAATATATAATAATAATAATAAAAATAAGCGTTAGCTGAATAAATACAAAGCAAATATGTTAAAGGCATTTAGTGAGCAAATATGAATTGATAAAAACTAATACACGAAAGCCACATGAAATTAATGTTAGTTACCAGAAAAACGAACTAATTTATTGAAATGTATTGCACAATATTGTACACTTATAAATATTAGTAAAAAGTAACAAAAACTAAATAGAAACGAATAGGAGGCAGCTGTGCTAGCGAAATATATATTGTAGTTCATATATATATATATATATATATATATATATATATAAATAGATCCCAGCCATGGTTTAAAGCACTCTGAACTATTTATTTTAAACTTATTTTCTTTTATTGAGTATTGTGCCCCACAGCGACTACTCACACAACACAGCTCAGTTTTACATTAGTTTGGATTAGTTGGATAGTAAATATATCTAAGTAAATACTTGTTTACAAATGTGTGTGTATGTATTAAATGTGCCTAAAGATATAATTTATTTTTAAAACCACGGAGAACTCTTCTTCGATAAACTTTAAAACATTTTTGGGGATTAACTTTAAATGATTCGCAGCACTTTCGTGCAACGATTTCTTTTGTCGAACTTAACATGCAAATGGAGACCAAATGCTCAGGGCTTAGCGAGTTATGAATAACTTAATATACAACCAAAAATAAAAAGGCAAAACATATTTAAGAACTAATTGTAACACATCATGAGCATGCTCCATTATATTTAACAATTATAAAGCATTTCAGTTACGCTATTTTCATCCTGCAACAAGAATAACCACAACCAAAAGAAAAACAACAAGAACAATCCAGCAAACAAATTTACAATTCCAAGCAATCAATTTCGTTATAAAGACTGACTGAGAAACCAAGAAAAACAACAACAACAACAACAACAGAACTCCCTAAGTAACCGGAGAGTTTTCATATCAAATGACAAACGTTTTTCAAAAAATCCCCAAATGGAAAGCTTCATTTGAATCATTCAAAATGTACATTATTTCATTTTAAACCTTTTCTAGCGAGTCCATAATACAAACATCATTACGAAGTCCTTAATGAATAGTCAAATATAGCGAAAATAATTCAAATATTACCACCAGCGTTTTGCTACATAACTAACTAACTATAACTAAAATGCAACAATAAGAAAACATTAAAATAGTCTACAATATAGTTGAGAATCGTATAAGGGCAGATGGCATTGAACTTTAGCGACAATTTTTCTAGTAGAAGAGTAAAGTATACAACGGATAACCAACAATATACAAAGAATAGTTAAATCTAAAGCATTGTATTTGGAAATGATTTTTGAAACCCACCATAAAAACTGAACGAAGAATCTGAAATATTAAAATGAAATGCGATTAACAGATCTCCATTTTTTGATATTAAGTTTCCTTCGCTTGTTTGCTAATTCCAAATTTACATATTTATCAAAATAATTCGCAGCAGCAATCTTTAAAGAAAATATTAATAAACTTACATTCAGACATATGTAAATATGCGCGGCTAAACTAATCCAAATCCAAACGATGAAAACAAACACAAGTGCATTTTGTTTCCCCAACTTGCGCGTGAGAACAGCTAAAGAAAATACCAGATAATACTCTGATTTACCACTGCCACAAAGTAAAAGTAAAAAAGAATTAAAGTTATTATAGACATTACATACTTACACATAAGTATATACTTACTTACATACATATATATGTACTTTGCAAGTGTACAATGAAAACGAAATTCATTACAATTACATATATACATAATGTGCGTATTACAAAACCGAGTAACAAGCAACATCATACGTTTGCATAAACAGCATTAAAGATAAATACATATAAATACATAAGTCAACTTAAAATTATTATTTATTCAAAATAATAACAATGATAACAATAAAACTTAACTTATAAAAGCATTAACTAAATCCAAAATAGTTCTTTGCATAAGAATAAAGCGATGTTACATTATTTAATGAAAATATATACATACATATAAATAAAATATAAATAACAATTGTGTTTTATTCAGAGTTCGTATCTATTTCAGGGACTCCTTTCTCAAGCTGATGTAACCCGCATCTAAAGAGTTTCTCCTATCAGAATGACTAGCTGAGTATTGACCGACACATAAAGTTTTGAAAATAAACGTGATGCCATTTTGTCGATTTAGGTCAACATTTTGGAATTTTTTTTTTTGATGCCAATCGTTAGAACTGATCCTTACTAGTCAAAAATGGTATGAAATTGCAAAATCGGACATTATTTGACGGAAATATTCCAAAAAACCATAAAAAAAGTTGACTTTACGAACTAATGGTTTTTTTGTCTTTAACATTTTTGAACCCATCGATGTTTAATTTGTTTGAATGTCAATTGATGGTAGGGATCCGTACGCATTCAAAAAGGTATAACATTCTAAACTCAGATTTTATTTACTCTTTCCGCGATATTAAAAAAAAAAAATCATCGAAAAAGTTTCGATTTTCGCACCGACCTCGATTTTGAAAAAAATTATGATGATTTGG